TTGACACTTAGGTGTACCAAGCAGTGAAACTTATAGAAAATGTCTTCACATGTCTTTGATGACCTGCTATAATAATGCTATAATTTAGATCAATGTATGTTTCAGTATATTACATCCACTGACTTTTTTATTTCACTTCATCTTAAAATACTCAATTACAGAGAATAAATTAATAATAAAGTAGAGAGTAAGAATTTTATTTTGTTCTTCATCACACAATTCATTAAGAAAGTACATATCCATACTTCTACATTAGTGGCTCAAGATATAAATAATATACTTGGTCACAAATCTTGTGATAATCAAATGGAGATAGCTATAACTACTAAATGTGTATTAGTTGCCAGCTATATGTTATTGCTTTTCTTCTGATTCAGTAAAGTATCTGATTATCTCTTATATTGCTATATTAGACATTGAAAGGAGCTTAATAAAATGTTGCTCTTAGAGAATATTCAAATTTGAAAAAGTTATAAGGATAATGAAATGTGCACCTGGACTGATTAATAATTAATTGTGGGATGCTAGATTTTCTAACAGGCAGTCCCACGAAGCTTTGGGGTCAAAGATGATCTTAAAAATTATTCTTGCTGATTCCTGTGTATATCTTATGGGAGGGAGGACAGAGAACCTGAGGATAAAGGGTGAAAACGGGCTGTAGTGAAGTGCACTAGACACTGATGAAAGTGAACTACATAATCCGTGGGTGGAGATGGGAGGGTGGGAATGGGAGAGAGTGAGGGAAGAGATGACACTGTACAAATGGGAATGTACTTATTATCTGAGTCATGTAAATATAACCCCTCTGTACATCACCTCTATAATAACAATAAGGTAAATTTTAAAATAAATAAATGAAAGGAAAAAGAAAAATCATTCTTGCTGAGTGCCAGTGGCTCACGCGGTAATCCTAGCTATTCAGGAAGCTGAGCTCTGAGGATCATGGTCCCCGAGAGACTCTTCTCTCCAATTAACCACTCAAAAAACCAGAAGACTGTGGCTCAAAGTGGTAGAACACTAGCCTTGAGCCAAAGAGCTCAGGGACAGTGCCCAGGTCCTGAGTTCAAACCCCACAACCATCCAAAAAAAAAAAAAACCATTCTTTTTTTTTTTCTACTAAATCATGCTATAATTGTTTCCAATCTCAAATTTGGATGAAATGACCTTGAAAGAAAAGTTCTCTCTGATAACAAGATTTGGTAAATATAAGTTCTTGAAAACATACACTATGTTAAAATATCCCAGTCCTGTAATCATAATTTCTTGGACTCTAATTAATTTGTTCTTCAAACTCAAATATTCTTTAAGGTCATATATTTTTATATATTATCACTTTTACTTTGTAGACTAAGATCACTGTTCACCAGTTAAGAAAATTAATGAGAAGCTTTGTTCAGTGAGTAGAAGAAAATTAAAACAAAGTAGTAACCCTAACCCAACACCTCAGCCTAAATCTCAGCCTAACAGCAACTCTAACACTTATCCTCACCCTATCACTAATCCTAACCCACACCTCACCCTCACCCTTGCCCTCACCCTAACACTAACCCTCACCCTAAGCCTAACCCTCACCCTAACCCTAACCCTAACCGTAACCCTCACCCTAACGGTCAACCTCACCCTAAACCTAACACTAATCTTAACCCTCACCCTAACCCATAAATAAAATAAATATTTTATTTATTTTTTGTTTTTTGTCATTCATGGGGCTTGAACTCTGGGCCTGGACTCGGTCCCTCAGTTCTTCAGCTCAAGGTTAGCACTTTACCACTTGAGCCACAGCACTACTTCCGGCTTTTTTTTTTTTTTTGCTTATGTGATATTGAGGAATTAAAACCAGGGCCTCATGCATGTGGGACAAGCACTCTACTATTGAACCTTTTCCCAGCCCTAGTTTGGAATATTTTGAACCCCTGTTTTCACTGTATTTGGTGTTGGTATAATTTGTGGAGGGGAAGGGAAAAAACAAATGGTTTAATAGGGATACAGGTGGACCCATTGCAACAATGAGATGTACAAGATGTTATGTTGAAAATGAACTTTACAACAATGCTTGATAAGAAATGTACTCATTACCTTGCCCATGTAATTGTAACCCCTTTGTATGGTATTTTAACAATAATAATAATAAAAAGAGCTACTAGAGAATCAACTTGTAGTACTGGCATGGCCTGGATGAGAAACTCTGGAAGTACAACCCGAAAAGAAGTGACATGAGGGAAGTTCTGTGGGATCGGACCATGGCCAAAAGCAGGCATAAAAAGGAATAAAGCCAACTGCCAGGAAGCCCAGATTTAAGGTCAACTCTGTTGTGTCTTCCTGACTGGGTCACTTCCTAAATCTCTGCTTCTGTTTATCCATGTCTCAAGCTAGGTAAGAGATCAGACTAAGGCAGGTATTTTATGGGTGAAGTAAGTCACAGTTGATGGAAGTAGTTCTGGAGTATAAATAACTAAGTAGAGGTTGGTAGGAAGTGTTGACTGATGTGAACCACTGAAAAGGTCCCAATGGTGACAAGATCTTAGGAGAACAAACAACAGCTCCCTAAACTGGTAACCCTGAAGACTCTGGTGCTAGACCTTGTGTAGAATAATTTTTCCATACTGGATTAAACTCATACATATCACAAGTGTCTTGACATTCAGTAAACCAACACAGGCCAATCGAAGCAAGAACTCTGACATCCAGAGGCATTGTACCATCTGGGGCTCATATGTCAGGTGTTTATAGAAAAAGGGTTTTACTCACTGAGAGGATAATGAAAGCCCCAGCTTAAAATGGCTGCTGATTTGAGTAAATGACTGGGAGGGAGGCAGTGACTAGAGACTCATACCACTGGAGAAAATTCCTCTTCAATGAAACAAAAGATTGATATGGCTGGCTTCAATGAGGAAGCCAGGGACCAGTATTTGAACGCCTGATCTATAAGGATCCTGAGTTAATACTTATGCCGTAGTCTATAGTCCATACAAGAAAGGGATGATTCAACTGAAAAGTTAGCTCTTTATGATTAAAAGTTCATAGCATCTTGTCCACAAAATGGCTTATTATCTTCTTCTATGACGAAATGATGGGCAATGTGAATTCATACTTTTTCACTCTTTTCAGAATGAAAATCAGCACTCTTTAAATCTTTTTGTTATAGATTTCCCTCTATTTCCTAGTGACAGAACCTGCTGTGATGGGCTTTCAGGTAGATTATATGGTCAGAGAATGAGCTGACCTCCTGACCATTTTCTTGCCCCATTGGAATCACTGACAAAAAATGCCTGCCATTCATCTTTAGTTGATCTACAGCTCTCTTGCCTACCAATAACCTCCTAAGATTCACAGATTTCAGAATTTTTTTTCCTCTATGAGAATTCTAATGCTATTTACTAGGAGTGCAGCTTCAGGAGATAGAAAATTTTAGGCTTACTTATGCACAGATAAATATGCTGAGTGGCATATTCCAGTACATAAAGAAGGATATATCCAAGTGTCTATGTTGCTCAAAAATGCAATTTAAATTAAATTACATTCCTCTCCATCCTCCATCACCACCATTTCTGCACTCACATCAATAGACCAGAAAGCAATCACACTTGAAATAGCAGCAAATAAAATCAGAGACACAATCAAAGTTTCAGGTGTTGAGAAGAGTCAGACTTATGGGACCATGGAGTAGAAAATGTTGCAGCTGATTTACAAGATGGAACACAGGGCATTTACTCTACCTGCGGCAGAGCCCCAGACTTCAGTATAAGCCAAACTAAAACAAATTTTTCTTATTTGTTTATTTAGATTTTTATTTTAAAAATTAAACATCATATAAAGAAAAAATGTTAGCAGAAGAGCTTCTCGAATTAAACTAAACTGAGTTCAAATTCTGGCTTGGATTTCCATAAACTCTGTGACCACATATAACTTAAAACATGTCTGAGCAACAACTTTTCCACCTGCAAAATTCAATTAGAAATATTTCCCTCACAGTGTTGCTCAAGGTGGGATCTGAAACAGAGTAAGGAAAGCACTTTGGGTCTGCATGGTAACACATGTCATTAGCATGCTCAATAAATAAAAATTGTAATAGTACATGTCTGAAGACATAATGACCAAGAAGAGGAGCACCTTTCCTCTTAACACTCAACTTGTTCCTTACAAACGGTGGCCTTAAAACTAGATTCACTGACCAGGCAAAGCACAACAGAAAAGCGCCACCCAGAGGAAAGCACTGATTCACCTTCCCACTGAAGTGGAAGTCCTCATGATTTTCCAATGATAGCCTTATTCAAGTCTTTGTATCTACTTAGACATAGAATGTGGCTGTACTAAAGTTGGTATTCCCCTTTTGTGATAAAAACAATTCCAGCTCTGTAAGTTCCTAGATGTCTGAACTGGCAGAGATGCCTAAACTCTCTGCTTCTGTTTATTTCTTTGGATGTAAAAGTAGGGAAAAATACATTTGCTATGGCACTTGTCAAATAAATACTTACATAATGTTCAGAATAATAACTTGAATATACATTCAGAATTGAACTTAACTTTTATTATGGAGTAATAACTGAGTTGTGGTGTTGTATATAGAGGTTTTAGATAAAGCTTCTTCACATATGGGACTATGAACAAGTTACTAAACTCTCTATGCCTCAGTTTCCTCATCTGTATAAAAACAGTACTGATATATCCACCAGTGTAAGAGGGAAATTGTAAAGATTAAAGGAGATACTTGGTCTTCATTGCTTAGCATAGTACCTAGAATGGAATATGCGAGCTATAAATGGTAATTATTAATGAGCTAGACTGCAGTTCCATGGTAAACCTAATATCTGTCTTTCGGGCAATCAGCATTATTCCACGTGTATGGTTGTTCTCCTAACCAAATCTATAAGGGAGAACATTTTTCAAAGTTAGCCTCAGATGTATCCTTTTCAGTAGCCTGCTTGACCAAACAACCCTGGCCTCCCATCATTCTGATTGAGAATGTTGATTTATGGTGTACTTGTTTGCATATAGTTTATCTTTCCTTCAGTGAAGTGACCATCACATATTCATCTTTTCCTACCCATAATTTAGCAACACACCCTTCAACATGTCAGCTTGATACTAGCCGTTTAAATTCTCCTTTAGATGCTATCAATTTTCCATGTCTGGAGCTGTTTATTCTGCTACTATTGGAGTATATGCTCTACCCATGATTAACAGTCTTTTCGTTTAGTTACAAGCACAGTGACTTCACAGTGCTACATGGAAAGGGATTTGTGAGAGATACTTTTCAGCACTGGAATTTAAAAATGTTTGTAGGTCAGATGCTGGTGGATTGGGCCTGTAATCCTTGCTACTCAGGAGGCTGAGATCTGAGATTTGCAGTTTGATGCCAGTCCAGGGAAGAAAAGTTCCTGTGAAACTCTTATCTCCCTTAAATTACTCAGAAAAGCCTATAGTGGCTCTGGGGCTCAAGTGATAGAGAGCTAGCCAGGAGCATAAAGAGGCTCAGGGCCTCTCAGGCACCCAGGCCCCGAGGTCAAGCCTCAGGACTGGCAGGTAAAAAGAGGGGAGGGCCGAGGAAGAGGAAAAAAAAATGTTTGTAAGATATATCAGGCTTACTATTTGTTTCTTAAGACTTTTGGTTTTAATTTCTATCAAAGAGCTTGAACTACAAGTTCCAAAGCTAATATATTCTTTGAATGGAGCCCAGTCCTTGGGGTTTGATTAGACCAACAAAATTCTACATGGGCAGGATCACTCTTAGCATTGATCTTTACTGTATCTCCAAATGATGAATTTCTTTGGAAAATAGATGTTTGCACAAAATATCTAATATCCATTTCAAATTACATTATGAGAATTTCTTTTACTTCCTCAAGTGATTAAAATTACTTAAGACTAGTATTTATTCCTCGACCTAAACTCAAAATTCTATCATCAATGCACTCTGAAATTCATTGCAGTTTCTCCTACTTGTCAGACCATTGACAACGAAGACTTCAACTTCTTCACACCGCATATACAACAGACCTAAATACTCATGGTGAAAATATACACTTCTCACCACACTTGGAAGATGATTCTACCTGAAGAAGAGCTGGATTTGGCATCTTACTAAGTCTGTAATGAAGCTCACAGAATAAAGCCCTATGCTTATACCCACTATGCTCCTGAAATCCAGCCAGTGTGTGCTGGACTCAAGGAACCTCAATCCAGTAACCAAGTATACTTGAGATAAAATTCCCGTCTTTAATGACATTGGTAGAAGACCCTCAAAGGGCTTCCCACTAATAAAGTACAATATTACATAAAATTCCTTTTCCTCACCCTTCAGTACAAACCAGACTGCAATAGACAGATATGACTTTATAGATAAACATAAAGAGAACAAGGAAAAAAAAACAGATAAAATGTTCTTAGCAGAAGATGAGTAGAGGTAAATCTGTTAATTATTTTTAATTAGCATAGTTTAATTATGCTCACACATTATTGTAGCAATATAGATTGTTCTCCTATCAAGCACATTCTCTCAGATATACATACACACTAGAGGGACACATAGTAAAAACAAAGTCTCTGCTGATCAATTGATTTAGAAAGTGGAAGTTGTATATATACTCTATTGCTATTTTATAGTACAAATATGACCACTCAACTTCATGATCAGTAGAGATTGGAAAGGAATTAGGGTAGCTAATTCATTCATTGAAGCAATTATTTTGTCTAGAAGCAGTAGTGCACTCTCTAAACTTAGGAGGCTGAGGAAATAGGATTCTGAGATTGAAGCCAGTTTGGTCTATGTGCCAAGACAATGTCTCCAGAAACATAAAAAGAAAAAGAACAAAGTTTTGGACTGTATCCAGAGGCTAGCTACTTTTCTGGGCATTGGAGACACCCTGTTGAACAGCATGGATCTGGCCCTCATGGAGTGCAGTTATTCAGATAGAAGTGACGGTAACCAAATGCAATGCAACAACTGCTGTGAAAAGCAGAGTAAATGAACAGAGCAGTAAATGACCCCATTTTGCTGATGGGGTTGGGAAAAGTCCTCTCCAAAGAGGAAAAATCTGAGCCAAAGACACCAATAAAAGAGATATGAGGTTAGAAGTAAGACAAGCAGCAACAGGGGAGGGACCAACAAGACAGTATTCTTTTTAATACCTTTATTCCACTTATGAATGGAATGCTATTTTGTTCTTTTACTCTCCTTTTACTATTTTTTCTTAAGAAATCCTGTGCTTCTTGAAATGTGAAATAGGTGGAGAAAATACAGTTTGGGACCATTAATTGTGCTTTCTTATTGAGTATATAAATTTGATGTCAAACGGGCCTGGCTGAATGGTATATATTTATTTCAAAAATATCATTTGTGTGAGGCATTGCTGCATCATCCTATTGATTTAGGGATTGGTGTGATTGTGCCTGATGCTTTTATGAAAGGCAGGCTATTAACAAACTAAATTGAAAAACTAGTGAGTCTGCCTTTCTGGGCCCAATCCAGCATGCTGCCCATGTGAGGCTTAAATGGGAAAATACTGTAAAAAGACTTATTTTAATGCGACAGACTCCTCATTGCAATCCATAAACCTTATTTGCTGTGAAGAAAAAAAAAATCCTACAAGATAGAATTCTCATGCTCGGCAGCAATCTCCCCCTGGTTTTTCTTCCATCCACGGCAACATTAATCTTTTCATTTCAGAAACTGGCTCTCTTTGACCTTGTTGGACATAAGGATTAAAATCTTGTGTAAGACAAAGTCGTTTTAAAAGAGTCGAAGGAACTATGGATGCTAATGCAGAAATGGCTTGGAAGTATCAGGGATTGAATTTGCATTGTATTCTTGGTATGAAGCTGAGAGACAGAAAATTAGGTATGAAGGCTAAACATGAGATTTTAACCAGCTCCTATGCTTGTTTTACAGGCCAGGGTAGGAGGTAAATGTTTGGTATTTGTCCTCTATCCCACAATCAGACCAGTGGCAGACTGAGTCCCATACTTCTTTCCAATAACCACCTTTGAATCCTGCTTTCCAGTAACATAACCCATGACTCAGGAAGGATAATCCAGGGGAGCACTTGGAAAGAACTGGGAACCTTTAATAAAATGAAATGGCTCTATGAATTGGAATAACCAGGAAATGTACTTGAGTTTCAATCAAAATGAAGATTTTTCTGATAGGTCCTTGTCTTTCCTGTGATACTGGCTGACCCATCACCCAGGGCAGTTTCTCTGAAAACAAATGACCCTGATGTCTTCCATGGACTTGGAGTATCCAAGAGGGACTGCCGGTAAAGAGCACACCAAATCACTGCACATTTTTCCATCATGCCAGAAATTCTGCAGTAGGACACTTCTCTTGTGACAGATCAAAAACTGAGCTATTGGATGGAATTTTGTTTGTAAGATATATGTATTGGGGAGGTAGGGGAGGAGGGAAAGGAACCCTATTGCACTGTTGGTAGGAATAGAAACAATACAACCATTCTGGGCATTCTGGAGCCTCCTCAAAAAAAAAAACCAAAAAACAAAAAACAACAAAACAACTAGATGTTCCCTATGGCCTAGTCATACCACTGCTGGGGATTTGCTCAGAACATCATGAGTCAGAATACCATAAAGACACTTGCACATCTATGTTCATTGCTCCATTATTCACAGTAGCCATGCTATGGAAATAGTCCAGATGCTATACAATAGATGAGTGGGTCCAAACACTTTGGTACCTATACACATGGAATTTTATACAGTCATTAGAAAAATAGCATTATATCATTTGCAGGGAAATGGATGGACCTAGAATAAATCATGTTAAGAGTGTTGAGCCAGAGGGCAGGCAAAGAAAGGGTGGGACAAAAGTAGAACCAATTCAGCAGTGAAAATCATTAGACACTATGTTAGAAATGAACTGTACAACTTATGGGAGAGGAAAAAGGGAAAATTGGAAGAGAATGACAGAGGGAGTGACACTGTTCAAGAGGAAATGTACTCATTACCTGACTTATATAACTATAACCATTCTGTACATCAACTTTACAATAAAATTTAATTTGTTAAAGCGTTAATCCAAGCTCAAAGAGACAAACAGCACATATTTTCTCTCATTTGCAGAAGCTAAATCTAAAACACATGAGAACATAAATTATACAGGTCTCTAGGCATCCTCACACAGTGAAACTGAAGGAAGATACTTTTAGTCCAGGAGCACAAAGGCACAATACCCATGTGCACATGATCATATAAAATAATACTTATCAAAATGAGCTCCAGGAAATGGAAACAAGAGGTTTTTTACCTTGTTGTTGTTTTTGTTTTCTTTTCTTTTGTCTTCTTTGTTTGTTTATTTTTCTTTGGGAGGGTAAGGGGAGGTACAGAAATGGTGGGACAAAAGGTGAACAAATAACAGCAGTGGTATTCACTAGATTCTACATTGAAAATGAACTATGCAACTTATGGGAGGGGATATGAGGGAAAAAATTGGAGCGAGTAGGGGAAGGGGTGACATTGTCCAAAAAGAAAGGTACCTTTTACCTGACTTATATAACTCTTTGTATAATAAATTGAATAAAATATATATGTATTGTTAAGGGAAATAATCCACAATCATGTATTGAAAAGCTGATCTGTGTACAAGTGGACACTGAAAGGGAACCAGCATAGTACTCTCAGCCCCTCATCCTTGAATGGATGAGAAGGACCCCAGTGATTAGAGAGCCATGATCCAAGCTGTATACTTTAGACTAGTAGTTTGATCAGGGAGAAAAATTAAAAAATAGAAGCTAGAAAAACAGTTCTATAGATGAGTTCATGTAACTTTCTCTTTAGTTCCCTACTCTGGGTAGATCCAAGCTAGGGGTTAAAGTGGAAATAAAACTGCCAGGCATGAAGTTAGCACGACAAAGTCAGCACCATACTCAGCATATGTCTCAAAATGTCACCAGACAGAGTTGAGGATTAGTGAAGCTCCCCTTTAAAGATAGGAATTCTTCACTTAGTGTTCTTGACTTCAATTGCAGAATAAGAATTTCTGGACAAGTCATAAAGGTAAGAAAACTTGGCACAGCTTTATTAAGTAAACAAGCAAGGAAACAGATTTAAAAAAGCAAACAGAATGGCAGAGGCACACTCTAGCAGAGTGTGGGTGCTCTCATAGGGACACAAAGACACAGACACAGACAAGGAGATACCCAGAGAGACCCGCAGCTCCGTGGGCTGTTGGGTATTTATAGGGTAAAGGCAGGGGGTCTGGCTTTAAGTTATGCAAAGCTAGGTGCTTTGTCTTTGCTTTAACTACACCTGCTGTTATTCTCAGAGTTTCCAGGTAATAATGCATCCTGCCATAAAACAGCTCCTTATCCTTGAAAGGAGGAGACATCCTGCTATCTGCATTTTGGGGTATCACGTTAGGCAGTTGTGAATTCTTGGGTGAGAAATGCATCCCTTAAGAAAGAATGCATTCAGTTGCCTCTCTTTGAAGCAAAGATAGCATTTCTAAGTTTTTAGGTACCGCGTTTCTTAGTTGCCTACACCAGGCCTCAGTTTCCATAACTTTTCCTGCTTCATTTCCCCTAAAATGACTTTTGTTCCCTTAATCTTAAGGGAAGTACATGAAGGAATATCTCCTGTATTTGCTATTAGCTGACCATACCTCATTTTACCTAGTCTATCCGGCTTTAAAAATATGTCCTCTCTACTCCCTCCTCTCCCTTCTTCCCTACATACTTGCTTCTTTTTACTTTTCCTTGTCTCTTTCTCCTTCTCTCCCTTCTTCTTTCTTTTCTTCCCGTGCAATTGTTCAGTAGAAATAGAGGCTTCTTTGAAAAAAAAAATCTCAAAAGCAGCATAGAGATTTTTCACTTTACAGTAGTAGTATGGTGCCATTTCTGGAATGAAGACAGGATGTGCTGTAAGGATCTAGCTTTTCCTTGAGGAAACACACTCACGAGATGTGCTCAGTTTCTCACTCTTAGATTTTGGATTTACTTGGGCTTCCTTGCTGTGTATTTCTTGGTGTTCTGTAATGAGAAATGCATACTGGTCTGTGATCCTGCATTTTGTTTATAACTTTTAATTCATTAAAGTAGAAAGCTTTCTGAATTCTCTCACTACCCATAAAAGAATATTTTACCCACTTCCACACCTTCTTCCATTTTATTTTATGTCCCCCTTTTTCCCTCCCTCCTGTAGCACTCACACTCATTTCTACTTGCTGGAATTTCAAATGGCATTCCAACTAGACAAAAAGAAATCCTGTTTTTATGCACAGACAGCTTCCAGACTGATGGCCCTATTACATTAGCATACAATAAAAGCCAGCAGGGGGTGCATTGCCACGCTGTTATCCTGGGTCTCTGTGCCCCAGGGGGCTCTGAAGGTTCCCAGTGCACATCTCCTCTCTCTGGTAATGAGGCAATTGTACACTTTGGTGACAGCAACTTGGCCTCATGGAAGCTGCTGTCTTAGTGGAAGGAGAGGGGAGCAAAGGTGGGAATCAGGCATCCTGCAATCCCACACAGGCTTTCTGGCTTCACTGGTCTCTTTGATCTCTCTTCCACTGGTGTTGGGACTGCTTGAAATTCCTCAGTTCTCTGTTCACAATAAGTCGCACAGTTTTTATGTGGGGGAGGAGCATTAGATCCAAACCTTCCCTATTAAAATACGAATGACATTTGCAGAGAAGGCAGGGAGACAGGGAGTATAAAGGAGAATCAGGGCTCGCTCCTCTTACCACACAAAATACTGTATATCATATGCACATTGTTTGCCAAAGCCAGAATTTGAAAAATCAAAAATCAAGAATTCCCACAGGGACACCAAAGTCGACCCTGCCTCCCCCTCCACAGTGGGATCAAGTGAAGCTCTTCGGTCAAAACCAAACCCCTGTTTTCACTGTATTTGATGTTGGTATAATTTGGGAAGGGTTAAACAAATTGTTTAAATAAGGATACAGGTGGACCCATTGCAACAATGAAATGTACAAGATGCTATGTCGAAAACCGAACTTTACAACTTTGGCGGAGGGGGGGGGGGAAGGGGGGTAGTAGTGGAGATGGGAGGGCAGGGATAGCAAGGGAAAAATAAAGAAGGAGGCAACAATACTTGATAAGAAATGTACTCATACCTTGCTCATGTAATGGTAACCCCTCTGTACCACATTTTCACAATAAAAAAAAACTTATTAATAAAAAAAAATGTTTGAGTCACATCCTTAAAAGCTTCAACCTTCTGAGTCACCACAGCCACCACGCTTGGCAAGTTCTTGCTTTGAATCTGTGATAAAGGGATGAAGAAGAACTAAGTACCACACACACACACACACACACACACACACACACACTTGAACTAAGACAATAACAACTCTAGTTTCTTCTCCATTGCAAGTTCCCAGAGCAAACAGACTGAGGAGTAGCAAATTCCATTCCCTTTTATATGATAATGCTCTTTTTACCTCTCTAGAGAGAAAAGGAAAAGAAATAAGCAGATTAGCAGACTGTGAAAAGGGAATAGGCTGTCAACCCTAGATAGAAATAGGACCATTGATATGCAGCTCTTTATGTGGAGCAACGACCTAGCTGCATCCTACCCCCCAGTTGTATGCCCAAGGTCCACTTTCAAAGACGGCCAATCCAGTCCCAAATCTCTCCTCCCCAGACACCTGCCAATTCCTCGAGGTTTTAGCACTGTCTTGTAGTCTCTTCTTCCTAAGAAATAGCTGACCGGTGATGACAAATCACTATTGAATATGAGGTGAAAGCTCTTTAACTGATCTACTTTTCACTGGTCTAAAAGAATGTATGAAATGAAAGGAAAGAAGGGTAATGATTGGACAAGGTCAAATTTCCCTGATCCCAAATGGTCTTAAAAGATACACTGGGGGAAGGGAATTAGGTCCCTGCTCTCAGATAGCTTTAGGAAGCAAACCCATCATCATGCACAGTTCTGACTAATTTGTTTCCTTGAAGGGACCAAATTAAGTACCTGCAGGTCCTCATGATTCCGTGCTTCCATTGGCCTTCATCGGTGACTCCTGACAGTTACAATATCCTCTTGAGTATTCTTTTAATATTGTTCACACATCCATCTCCTCTCACCAAGGGTGCTTGAAGGTTTGAAAAGGACTGTACATACTTGAGCAATTACAATGCCCTCCTCCTATGTCTCCTTTCTCTCCAGCCACAGTCGATGCTGCTGCTAGTTCAACACTCCCACCAGAACATGTTAGCAATTTTTTCTCTTAAAACCATTGGAGGCCTCCTATATTGAAGGGAAAGGGTCCAGATTCCTGTAGTAGTCATGCAATGCTATGTGCTGCCTGGCCTAAAATCCAATCTCTAACCTCATTGATTGTATTTTCCTCTATTATCCTTGTGAAAGCACCACTAGTAGGAATCCCTTCTCATGCTTTACTCCCTGTGTTTTATTTCTCTCAGTTTTATACATTAGAGTGGAAGAGACATAACATGGGAATGAAAACTGGATAAGAATTGGACATACAAGCTTGAGTACTTTGTCTACCACATAATGGCTACATAACTTTTCTGAATGGAAATCTCATGATAAATCTCCCACCTCCTTGTCTACAAGTACCATCCATCCCACATTGGTTTTTGACATAGTCCCCAACAATTCAGGAAATGCTTAAGATGTTTTAGCCCTCCATACAGCCATCATCAACCTGTTACATAAAACCCTGAAGATATCCCTTATGTTTTTAGATAAGCTTATTGTACCTAAGCTTCAAATCTTGGAAGCCAAGATGTTTCTCAGTGGTAGCAAGCTTGCCTATTATATATATGGCCCTAGGTTTAATCACCAATATTGCCAAAAGAAGCAAAGAGGTGGAGGGAGAAAGAGAGACAGAGAGAGAGAGAGACAGAGAGACAGAGAGACAGAGAGACAGAAACAGAGAGATAGAGAGACAGAGAAAGAGAGAGGGGGGGGAGAGAAGGGGAGAGAGGCACAGGTTAAAGCAGATGTTACTCAATTCCTTTCCTCTATTCTCACAGGACCTTGTATTCAATTTGTCTGAATTTGCATTTTTCAAGTTCAATATCTTCCAATTTTTGTAAACCCATATTAGATAAAGCTCTTACCTGAGTATTTGTTCTGGGTACCCATCTGGAAATCCAGGTGTAGTATAATCCTGAGTGTAGCCTGGGAGCCACAGCTCTATAGTCTGGGTTGGGCTTCCTCAGAAATCACTCCTCTTGTGTACTGTCAAAGTGCTTAAAGATCAATAGCTCTTCCAAGCTCCTTTATTCAGACTAAGCCCTTGGTGCTGGCTGTAAGTTCCACAGCAAAAGTGAGCAAGTGAATGCTGGACATCACTCTTGACCAGCCTGCTGTAATGCTTTGTGCTATGTATACCTAGTTACAGGTGCATTCCCTCTGTGCATTTCTCTTGTAAGATGAATGATCTGTGCACGGCTTCCAAATTGAAGATGCAGGGTGGTCATTGTATATAGCAATATATTCTAGTCTTATCTGCCCCATCCCCCAAACTTTTACGTCTCTAGCTATGAATGATGTGTCTAAACAAAGACGTCTGACCACTAGATAAATGAAGTGAAATGATTTACGTGGACAAAGCAACTGTGCAATACCAACTAATATTAGTTTGGTTCAGGCTGGGGTATATCAGGGAGCTTTGTGGAAGGTAGGTCCAGAGAAAACCTCAAGAGCTTTAATACGAGTGGAGAAACTCAAGGCTCTCACCTGCCCCTGACGTTCACTGTTCTGTGACCTTGGAAAAGTTACTTATCCTTGTGAGGATTAATGAGTTAATCTCAGGGGAAGTACTTTGAGATCACGGGATGACAGGTGCTGTATAAGTACAAAGTATTATTATTAAAATGTCACTGTGCTGGCTGCATTTGCTCTTGAGGGTACAGAGGCAGGAATGACAGCCCTGGGTGAGTGGATAAGGCTTACATAAGACAAGGAAATAGAGAGTTCTGTCATGAAAAGTTCTACTTCTCTCATCTCATCCACCAATCTTCTGCCTTGTCTCTGGACAAAGGCAGGCTGTATTTTCCTAAAATGAACCGTGGAAGGCCGTTTTCGTTAGGAGCTGTAGTTTTACTTGCTATGTAGTTTATTTGCTATGTAGTTTATTTTTGAAAGTAGAGACAAAAAAGTACCTTCATGTCTCCAAAACAGAGAAATAAAACTAATAAAAATTCAGAGAATTGGTACATTTAACACATTCCACCATCATGGCAGAAACTCATACCCCTTCATCTTTCAACTTCTTGATGTAGCTAGTTTTTAGTTTAATTTCGTTGGGGGCCTGAATTTTGGAGATATTAGGCTATGAACTTAGGGCCTTTCTCCTGTTAAGTAAGTAAATGCTGTAAATGCTCTACAACTTGAGTCACTTCCCCATACTTGATACTCAATTTTTAAAAACTGGTAACTGTAATATGGACACTCCTGTGTCTATACCTGATAGTTTCTTACAATTGATGGTGTGTCTTAGCCCCAGATGTGACCCTGGGAATATTTTGTTTGACTATGTGTCCATTTTGTTGTGTTTTTAAAAATTGCTGTTGTTTCATAAGATTAGGATTTTATGGGCTCTTTTTAGGGACCAAACCCCTCCAGAGAAGTAGCTGCTCAGCACTGCATATTCTTGAAGACTTCTGGAAAACAACTCATACCAAAAAAAAAAAAAAAAAGTTCAGTTTCAAGGAGGAGAATAAAACCTCCTTATTACTTGCTGTATTTCACAGCAGGCTCACCTTGTGCAAGATCAAATCTTACAGGGCACAAGGAAAGAGCAGGTTGTTCAGCTCCAAAGAGTAAGGAGGATTTCCTCAAAGCTTTTGCATGCACAACTACGATATTACAAGTGTCAAATGCAAGGAGAACTGAGGAAGAGTTCCCTATTAAGAACTGTATGTGGTCAACTGTTCTTATTTTACTTTCTAAAATTATTACCTTGCAGCATTGTCATTCTGTATATAATATTTCTTCAGAGCAGTTTGAGGTTTTCTCACAGAGAGGCACCTACATGAATGAATGGAAAAATCTCTCATGCTGTGAAATGAGTCTCCTCTGTTCCTTTTCATATCCTTCTGCCCTTTCCTTCTGTTCTATCAACCATGTGAACTCATACTTTTATTTTAGGTCTCCTGAAAACCCTACAATACAAACTTACTTCCAACAACCTTCCTTTCCAAAACTAATTCTTACTCATAATCCATCTTTGCCTCAAGTGTGCAGTATGTGATTAACAAAATTGATGAACTATTTTTGCAGGGCTGTTAATAGCTATTAGTATATTGCATTCTTTATAAAACTTTACTTGATCAGATTCAAACTGTTCTCTAAACAGTAAAAAAACTTCAAAAGCTAAGGGCCATTTTAGCGGATATTTGGGCTACAGTTGAACATGATCATAGCTTCCTTAGTAGCATCAATATTGATGCAGAAAGGCAACTCTGGTGAGTACATACACAGATGGCTCTTCTGACTAACTCCCATAATTTATAGACATAAGCTCAGCAATGGATTAAATGACACTCAGAGGTGACTTGTGGTAGAGTCAGAACTCAAGCTCAGATTCTGCATCTCAGACAGGAGCAGCATCCACAGCACCAGGATGTTCTCTGTAAACCCAGTCCTGCACCTGTCTAACTGTGCAAATTTACGCCAAAAAAAATCTCTACCTCTGAGTTTCTGTTTTCTACCCTGTAAAACAGGAGTTAGATTAATGGGTCTTTAAAGGAAGGACTCTTTTGGCTTTTCAAATATTCTAATTCTGTGTGTATGGAACCACACATATGCATTTTATAGTCATCTACATATTTAGAGCCTCAGGAATTTGACTTTATCATTTTTTTCAAGTTTCTCTCTGCCATGATGCTTCACTCCTGGTATAATGGTCTTTAGCATGTCAATGATTCAAATACAAGACCATTTTCTTAGGCCTTCATTGTTTCAGAGTGAAATTGAAAGAGGGAATCCAGCTGTTTATATGCAATATGCAGCAATTATGAAGTTCATTTCCAGAAGCCACTGTAACCATGGCAACCTGTGATTCTGGAAGAATAGAGACGGGCTGTAGACCGACTTCCAATGGGGCCAACTCTATAACCAGAGACGGCTCAGGAAATGTTATGAGGAGCCAGAGTTGTTTACTTGAAGTGAGAAACAGTTTTTGAAACTCAGACTCCCTTAATCCGTAACTTCAGTCTTTCTTTAAAGTTCAGTAATCGGTGAAACTTGAATTTCTAGATTTGCCGGAGTCTGCCCTAGAGGGCTAAGTAGTTCAAATGAAACAAGAGGCAGCATTGTATTGATGTTTATTTCATAGCGCCTTAAACGCCAGACTCAAAGTCATCACATCAAACCGACTGAACTTGAAGTCAGTGTTGCAGGAACCTCAGAAAGTTCAAATGAGGAGCAGAGAACCCAGTCTCTTGATATTCAGTGTTTCTCAGAGCACATTGACTTCTTTGATATTTCAAGAAAAAAAATAGATTAAACTTATGTTAGAATGAATAATTTTTGTGATACCTTAACCTCATCAGACCAGAATGGAAGCAAGACTTATCCAAGGCAAAGATTGGGGACAGCGAAAGGACACGGCTATGGTAATTCTGAATCTGAAATTGTGGGTTTTTTATTTAAAAAAATAAAAAAAAGGTAACTGAGTTGATTGTCTTTTTATCTGTCACCTCACATGTATCTCTTTGACTGACAATGTGAGTTTGGGGATGTTGCAAGGGAGAATGAGAAAATGGACAGCGAAGAGTCAAACCTTAAATGCACACAACTCCTGTATGTGGCCTGGGAAATTCATGGAGATGAAATGCTAAATGGCTGCAAGCTGCAAAAGCATCAGAATTGGATTCTTGCTATTTCTGCCTCTTTTGACTCTGTCTTTGATCCCTGCTGTCAGCATGCTGGGCATGTGTGAAAACCACAGCTCACAGACACTGTCCCTCCCTACTGGGAAGTGAAAGAAATGCTGGGCCTATCAGCTGCTGGTTGTTTGTTGTTTTGTTGTTGTTGTTGTCATTGTTTTTGTTTTTTTGGTTTTTTTTTCTCCCTGAAATTCCCAGAGAAAATAAAATCAGCCATATACTCTGAATAGCTTTGTGATGTACCCCTTCTGGATGGTGGCATTATTTCATGCTCATTTACCTGAAAGATGAGTAGTCTGTACACACACCTGAAGAAACAGACACTCCTAAGCTAATCTTGAATCTGCATTATGAGTTTAATGTCACTCTTAGCAGCAACTAGACTTAGGGAGCAAATAGATGGTTTAAAAAATCCAGAAAGTTTCTAGGATTTTGGTTATATCCAATTGAGGCATAAAAGCAGGTTGAAGAGAGATGGCAAGAAGTCACAATGTAAATACACAAAGGATTGCCAAGTCAGATTTGAGCTGGTGGCAGAAGTTATTACCTGTAGGGAATAAAAGAAAGGCCTCATGTGTGATTCTACCCATTCTTTCTGTTACCTGAATCTGCCAGGATTGCTTCTGTTTGGATCTGATGCTTTCTTCTATCATAGCATGATACTGTGTCCTATTCTAGATTCTGACTATGAGGTTGAATATAGCTGTACCTCGCAGAGCATCATGGAAGGGAACACAGGTTTTAGAAATGGGGGGGACTTGGGCTGGGAAGGTAGCTCAGTGGTAGAGCGCTTGCCTTGCATGCTTAAGGCCCTGTGTTCGATTCCTCAGCACCACATAAGAAAAAAGAAAAAAGCCAGAAGTGATAGAGTGCTAGCCTTGAGCTGAAGAGCTGAGGGATAGCACCCAGGCCTAGAGTTCAGGCCCCACAACCGGACCCCCCCCCAAAAAGAAAGAAAGAAACAGGGGGACTTGGTTTTTTTACTACCTTGCTTCAGATGGCTTGTCAAGGACAAATTTTTATTGCTCATAATTCCGGAGGGTAGAAGTACAAGGTCAGGATGACAGCATGAGAGTTTCTTTGGCATTACAAGCTGCCACCAACTTCTTGTATCCGTTCATGGCACTAAGGAAAGCTAGCTAGCTCTTCAGACTCTTACAAGGGCACCAACACTTTTTTATGAATATACACCCTTATAAGCCTTATAACAACCTCCCACTGCCCAACTGTCAAATAGCATCACATTGAGATTAGGTTTCCACATATGAATTTTGAGGAGATGCAAACATTCAGTCCATTGTAGCCGCTAACCTGCTGTCTGACCCAGAGAAAATTTTCTGACATTTCTATACCATCTGTAAAAGGATAATCAAGAAACATTGCTTGCACGGTGGTTGCATATAATATGCTCAGCATGGAGCCTAGTAGGGGGCAGGCTCACACAAATGGTAATGACATATGTCTAAGTCTATCTATATTAGAATTCCTGGAGCTGTATCAATTACCCCCTTTACGTTGTTGAAAACAATGAAAAATCAGGAGTCCAGGAAAACAGAAAATAACATCCAGAGACAGGCCAGCATCAGTCTTAAACAGATGGGCAGCCAATGGTATTCTTTCACATACAAAAAAATGAAATCTAACAAATGTGGTTTAATGAAAAGAAAACAGCATTTGGCTTCAGGAAATTGGACTTACATCAGAGTTGGGAAACAGGGCTAACGCTCTTGCGTGCCATTCTCCCAAGCATCCTTGGTGAGTCAATTAGACCTAATGGTCAATGAATATCCTCTGATAGGCAAGCTGCTGGAGGATCAAGCTGATGTTGGATGAATGATCAGCAGCAAATTATTTATACTATTTTTTGGGGGGGGGTCCAGTCGTGGGGCCTGAACTCTGGTCCTGGGCGCTGTCCCTCAGCTCTTCAGCTCAAAGCTAGCACTCTAGCACTTGAGCCTCAGCACCACTTCCGGCTTTTTTTTCTGCTTATGTGGTGCTGAGGAATCGAACCCAGGGCCTCATGCATGCAAGGCAAGCACTCTACCACTGAGCCACCTTCCCAGCCCTATTTATACTATTATTCAGAGGGATATTAGAGTTAATAGAAAGCTCTTCATAAAGCAAATGAAACTTAAGGGATTCCTTTAACATATAGGTGAAATAGGGCTGGACAGTTAAATGGATGTGAGTGAGTTTTAAGTTTATGGTGGATATAAGAATGAAACTAAGACTAATAGAGATCAGTAAAAGGATAAGAGTTATGAGCTGTGCCCATGTAATTGTAACCCCTCTGTATGGTAGTTTCACAATAAAAAAGAAAA